CGCCGTGCCCGCAGCGTTGAGGGGCCGAGGGGATGCTGAGGGCAGAGGAGAAATTGGCCTAATGAGGCGTCCTGGCAGCTGTTGGCCACGCTTAGGACCAGTTTTTTTTTTTTTTAAATTTAATTTCCATCCGTAGTTAAGTGATCAGGATGAGTAAGGAAGGGGCTTGTCTCGGAGTGTTCCTGGCTTGTTGGAAAGGGGCGTCGCCCACCCGCACAACTGGAGCTCGTTCCCGGAGTGCGAAATGACATCAGATATTCCCATGCTTCAGCAGTACCTGAGGAAATACGAGCTTATGAATAACACAACCAAGCATCGCCCAGGCAGTGCGAACCTTTAAAAGAGTTTGAATGCGCCTTGCGCTTGAGAGCAGAGAGCGGGAAGTCCTTTTTGTCCTGGTTTATAAATGCAATAAAAGAGGTATTTGGAGTTTTCTGCGATGGTTCATAGTCCTGTGATATACAGCGGAGAAATGCTTCAGTTCCAACAGGTAAACTATTTGGGGATAACCTATTGCTTTCCTTAAGAGTCTTCTATCCTCAAAAATACGTGTTTGAACCCCTCAAAAGTTTTAAAGGCTTATAATGAAATGCTTACAAAGGCTCACTCTTGGGATCCTGAATCCAGTCTGTATTCTGGAAATCTCAGTGCTCTTTTTAACAAACTTTCGGTGTAATTTTCGACAGGAAAAAGGGTTTTTCCAAGAGCAATATTTAGACAAACTATGTAATAAATATGCTGTAGTATAAGTTGCAATAAGACCTAAAATTCTCGTAGTTGATTTCATGGAAATTTTGTAAAAAAAAACAACCAAAAAAAAAAACAAAACAAAAAACCAAAACTGCAACATCCCAGGTTATCACAAATCATCAGACACAAATAAGAGCATGCAGGCAGAGTTTCATAATGTCTTGTGTTTTACCCCAATTTGGGTTAAGCCTTGTTGAACGCAAGCCAGGTCTGCCAGCGTTCGAACACTTCCATCCTTCCACTGAAACCGGTAGCAGGACCTTGTTTATTTTCCAGTTTTTTTTCAATTCTCTCCATTTCTCTGATTTACTTAGGCTGTGGGTTAACGTTCTGTGCGTTGGCATGAAACGTCTTTGAGTCAGCCCAGGCTGACCGGATGGAGTCGTCCTTCTTCCTAGAGTAGCTGAGCTGGGTGACGTGACTCCTGCTTGCGTACATGGGGCTGGTGACTCCTGTGGGCTCCGCGGAGAACCTCAGGTCATCTCGAATGAGTTTGGGTCCTGCTGGCTTCGCTTTCTGCCCAACTGGTGCCGTGGGCAGTCGTGATGCTCTAGGGAGGCTCCATGAGTTTGGGTGTAATCCCTTTTTCTGGCTAGTTGTGGATAACAGAGACTTGGTCGTGTGCTAATGAAGCATCAGAATATTAGTTAGGTCACAAGCTTTAGCTACAGTGGTTTAAATTTGCTTTTGTTTGTCTTGTAGATAAGATACAGGTTGATGTGCAGATCTTCATCTGTTTATGCCTTTTACTGAGTTGGCAGTTGTTGAACGATGGCCATCTTTGTGTTGGATTAGATGACCATTGTCATGGATTTACAGCCGAGAAAAGAACAAAATTATTATGACTTTAAGAAATCCATAATTCGAGACCCCTAAAGATTACTGATTTAGTTTCACACACACTAAAAAAAGGTTTAATTTTTTCCTACTGGAGTTTTCTATCAAATTGCACTTTGATAGAATTTTGGATTTAAGAAGATAAAGTAACATCATTTTATTGACCAGAACTACTCTTAATAAGTTTGGGGGTTTTTTTTTTCTGTGGCCAGTTTAATTTTAGTTTACAACAAATGAAATAATCAGTGGGAGTAATACCTGTTCTAATCAATTCACTGTTTTTTCTCTCCAGGAGTCAAATCTCTCAGAGCTGTTAAAACACCTAGAGGTGCTGCTAGGAAGCTCTGTGCCTTTCTTCCCCCTCCCTCCAAAGGCTGGATATGCTTTGATGGTGCTGAGGTGCACTTAAATCTGATTAAGCCTCTCTCGGAAGGCACCGATAAGAGTCCAGGGAATGGGACCATCTGTGTAATAGGCAGTTGAGTAGCTGTTACCAGGTCTGACTTCTTAGAGGGCTTGTAAGCTTATTGGGGGAAAAAACCAAAATTGATGAGAGTAAAGTTGGGCACAGCCAAGCTGAACTCACATTCTTCTGGGTGGTTTTTTAGATGCTGCCTTTGCCATCCACTGTTCTTCTTGAGCTTCACAGAGTTATTAGGTCACATTCTCTCGTTGACTGTTCAGGAATTAAGCAATTATTATTGTTTTCTCAATTCATGCTGAAATACCAACTTCTAATGAGTTTACTAAAATGAAAATAACCCTTTGTGGGTGCTTGTCGACTCTGGTAACTGCTGAAATATAAGTTATGAAACAAACATTTGAAAATATTTCCCACCCAAATATGCCCAAAATCTCTGAAAAAAAAAAAAAATCTCTTCAATAGTTACTAATGGCAGTTTGCTAAATAAAAAGGTATAAACACTTAAGAATGACTAAATTTCTGAAGCAGATAATGTGAAAGGGCGAAATTCTATAAGTCTTTGGTTATTTCCTTACTATAAGCTGTTCAGTGAGTAAGGGACTAGTGAAGCTTCCTGGGAATGCCCCTGGAGATCTGGTTTCTGTGCAGATTATCAGGTTCCTAAAGAGGATTCCATCTCTGGAAGAGGCTGTCAGACCTCTGTCTGTGGAGGTTTTCCTGACGGGACTGGCCAAGGTGCTGGTGTGCTGGTTGCTACTTGTTGTAGCTCGCTTGGAGGAGGAGACGGGGCTGTGTGTCCTCTTGAGGTCCCTTCCAGGCTGCCTTCTGAAGAAGTCAATTAAAGGGAAAGCAGATAGGAACTTCCCATTTTGAGGTGATTTCTCGCTTGGAAGAGGTGAAGTGTTAATGTTTTCACTTTTTTCGTAGTCAAGTGTTACCCGACAGCTGTGATGGATTTGTAAGATGCTGTCTGGACCGTCAGCCTTGTTGTTCGTACACTAGGGTTAAAATAGTGCCGTAGTTCCAGAAGGGAAGAGCTGCATTTGCCATCTCTGTTGAAAAACACGAAGGGAACCTTTAATATCGTCTAAAAGTCCAGTTTGCTCAGTCCTCGTGGAGGTGTTATTTGAATGAACAGCAAATGCAGGAGTAGGTTGATGGATAAAATGCCTGGGCAAGGGATGAATGACCTTTTCAGAACTGAGTTGGGGACATCAGCTACAATAATTATTCTTTTATTTTGCTATTGACTTGTCTTGGTTTTGTTTATGAAAAGCTACTATCCCTGAAAAGGCAATTTTTTTTCTGTTGTTTTGCTTTGATTTTTTTGAAACTACATTCAAAGTATTTTTAAGATAAATTTATCTTTTAGGTAACCAGCATGGTAAAAAATAAAGACCGTTGATCTCAAGTAATTCGGGTTTAATTTTACTTTTGTGTTGAGTTTGCTGGTTGAGAATGGGATGTGTACCAACAAAAGATTTACTGTGGTTATGCAGGGAAACAAAGTTGGCTTGAAGAATGCCCAAAATACATGAGAAACAAGTGAGTAATGAGAGAGTATGGATGATAAACTGCATAGTAATCCGGGAATAAAATGGAGGGCTTGAGGGAATAAGTTTAGAAGGTTGAAATGTTGTCACCCTGATGATGGGACACTGCTGGTCTAACGGAGAGTGTTGGATGAGTAACTTCAAGTCTTACTCCCAAGTTTAAAGATCAGCTGAATAACCTTGCACGTGGTACAGAGATGTAACATCTTCTGGGGTTGAAGAGGAACTGCTTGAAAACTGGGAAAAAAAGAGTAATTTGTATTTTAGTTTATTTTTTATTTGTTTTGTTTTCTTTCTCCTGGATTATTGACTTCCATTTCAGAAAGATTACTGGTTAAGAAAACTCTTGAGGTACATGGACACTTCATACTAGACCTCCTTAGCAGACTAACGTTTTTTTAGACGTGCCTCAAGATATGCCTGTTTCACCTTCTTCGGTAGCATCAGTTTATCAGTTAAAAGACCAAACTGGAGGAGCTGGTTTTGGAGGAGCCTCACCTACTCAGCCACATCTCCTCTCACCTGATCGGAGCGGGTTGACATCCTCTCAGCTCTGTGGTTACCTGCGCTGGACTGTGGTGTTGGTGCGCGTAACCTGTCCCAGAGGGACCGATTGTAAAGCTTTTAACCATGGACTGTTCCTCCACTTTTAGTTTTACTCGTTGGATTTTGATAGAATGCCAAAACAGTTACTCTGATTTGTTCCCTTCTGTACAGGTTCCTGTTCCACTCCCAGCCCAATGGTATCAGGATGTGTTCCAGCCTTCTTACCGATAAAAAATAGCAGGAAACGAGACTTGCATCTGTCAAATGGGGCTCCCTCTCCATTTCTCTCTACACACCTTTCCTTTGGGGAGAGAAGAAGTGGAGAATAGCATGTGAGTTGGTTTGGATTTTCATTAACAGCAAAAAAACCTCCGTTATGTTCTGTACGTAAATTAAGGTTTGGGGGGGTTGTTTTCTTGAATGATGAAACCTTTTCTATTTTTGTTGGTTTTTCTTTTCGTTTGGTGAGGCTTAGCTCACAGCTGCTGTCCTGTGCCGGGAGGGTTTTCTGCAACTCTTTGCAGGGAAGTTTTGCCTTTCAAGGGAAGGATTTCATGTTAACAGTGATCTTGCTCTTTAGTTTTTTGAGAAGCGACCATCAAAGCTGAAGTACTATTTGGACGATTTTCTTGGGAAGTTTTGCCTTTCAAGGGAAGGATTTCATGTTAACAGTGATCTTGCTCTTTAGTTTTTTGAGAAGCATAGCTTTTCAAGACCATCAAAGCTGAAGTACTATTTGGAGGATTTTCTTTATTTTTCCTTTTTCTTCTTGTAGGAACTTGTCCTGGATGGATGAATTGGTTAGCAATAGGGACTGAGATCTTTTAAACTCTGTTGGGTCCTCTGCGAGCTATTTAACAACAAAGAAATACCCATGAAGCTCCCAGGGACCTCTTTCAGTGCGGGCTAGTTCCGTTGCATTCTGTGCCCGCTTAAATTGCTTTAATCTCAGCCTAAATTGCGTTTTGCTGTAATCTAGGGAGGAGGTGGTAAAGGCTCGTGCTTGTCAAGCTTGCCGTGGGGATAGGTTATGATGCACCAGCAGAACAGGGGAGCTGTTGGAGAAGCAGTAACCCTTCAGATAGCTGACCTGCATCCCATAATCTGCCTTTTAATCTGCTTTGGTTGTCGTCCTCCTCTGTGTGCTGAGTCCAGCTCGCTGGAGGGAGCAGGATGGGGTGTAAATCCAAATTCTGGAGAAGACACTTCAGAGGAAGAGATGTAAAAGCCTACGGGTATTAAAAAAATTGTCCCATTGCGGTGTATTCAGCTGCGAGTGGTGCACATTAATTACACTTCAGTTCTACTGCATTACTATTAGAGTAGCTCGTTTTATGCTAAGGTTCATAAAAGTTTACACAGAAGCAGCTTCTGGAGGGAACTTAGATTTTACTAGCGATTGTATTTTAACCATGTACATACATGACAACAAACCAAATTATCAAAAGAGGCTTCTCATCTTGATGTGAGCATTCAAGGGGAAGGGTGTGGGATTCTTCTTTTCTAAATGAGATGATAGTAGTTTTCTGGATAGAGCTTAGGCTTACAAAATAAAAGTATAGCTGTCACAGGCACAAAGACATCTGAAAGAAAAGCTTGGAGTGATGTTTAGATAAAAGTGTAAAGGATTTATAACCTCCCTGCTCCTTGATCAGATTCTGTTTCCTTTAAGGTGAAGCAAGGGATCTACTGGGAAATTTCATAGAGTCACAGAATTGTAATGAAATTAATGTAATTGTAATGGAATTAATGAGACCAGTTCTTTGGCTTAAGGCTTTTGGGTTTTCCTATTTACAAATGTGGGTTTTAGATGTCAAGTTCTAATTTGAATGCTGTTAAATGCAAGTGACTGTGTTCCATCACTTTTTATTTTTTTTTAATATTTCTTTTCCAGGAAAAGTGCAAAAAATGTTTCAAATTCCTGTTCAAAATCTTGATAATATCAGGAAGGCTCGAAAAAGGGTGAAGGGCATTCTGGTGGATCTCGGCCTTGACAGCTGCAGGGAACTGTTGAAGGTAAAACATTTGAAATGCTGTAAACCCCTGTGAAATGTCAATACCCTTGAAGAATATTGCAGTTTTGAGTGTGTGCATGGTGATCCTCTGCCATAGATCCTTATGGGGGCGTCTTTGCTTGAAGGTTACTCATTACCTGTATGTCAGGGCTGCAATTTAGTGCATAAATTGAAAGAAACTCTATTTCTCAGCAAGATGTGTTCTGGGTAGTATTGCATATTGCCTTCTGGTAATATTTCAACCAAGAGAAGCTTGAGGAAACCCACCAGGCCAAGGAAGTGCCACACAGCGGCTTTTTTGTGATTCTTCTCAAACCAAAAGCAGAAAAAGTCGGAAGGTCTGCGTGCATACCTAATGCTGGAACGTTCTCGGTTATTGCAGTTTAACAGTTTTTGGGATATCTAAGTAAATGCCTTAAGAACCCAGAGAAGGGTGTGTTTGTTGGCAATTTCCATTTGCTCACTGGTGTTACTGTGTTGGGGGTTGTTATGTAGTGGGACCTTTTAAGTCAGAAGCTGTTCCTGCTTGAGCCTCTGAAGTGGAAAAGTTTTGATGATGCTAGTTTGTTTATTTTTTTTTGTTGTGAAATTGATTGCAGCCTCATTTTTTGATCGCTGCATCGAGTTTAATGGCAAATGGGGGAAAAAGGTGTGTGGTTGGTTGGGTTCTTGGGGATGGCATGAGTTTGGTTTTGCTTAATAAACAATGCTGGAGATCCCAGGGACCATTTCCACTCTGGAAAAAGCTCTGTGAGATATGAACCAAACCCCAGCATTTCAGTTTGCTTGAGTTTGGGGTGGTTTTTTTTGTTTGGTTTGGTTCGTTTTTTTCCAAATAATTCTCCCTCAAGGAAGTTGATCATTTCCATTTGTTTTCCCAAGTCATCTGGGGCTGGTTTTGCTATAACTGAGCAACGAGAAGAGTGGTTTTGAGAACTCAGTTTATACGTGGCTCCTGCGACGGTGTTTCTTTTTGGTAGAACAGCGGGTGAGACACCTTTGTAGGCAAGAAGTAGCTTATATTTGGTTGTGGTGGTGTTTTGGTCTAGTTTTTGTTGTTTGTTTTTCATTAAGGTTGTCTTCTGGATATTGTCCTTGTGAGGAGGCGTTTTAGGAGATGGCACAAAATGTTAGGCTAAAAAATTGACCTGCCATTTGGTCTTAAAATTAGTCTTCAACTGTCGGGATAAGGCATGATAAAGGGCGGTAGTCTGAGGAAGGTAAAGGAATTTCACTTGCATCTAGTATCTCTGTGTAGATTGGAGACCAGAGGGATTAGTTTTTAAGTTAAAAGCTCTGAATTGATCTCTGCTAGGAAGAAGACGTGAGCCTTTTCTGCTCGAGTATTAGCTTGATCCTCCAAGTGGCACTTGTAGGTACACTGTGATGTCAGAAGCTTTCCTTCAGTAAACTATTTTAGCTTCTTTAACGTGGGCCAGACTGTGAACTTCAAGAAAACATGCTCCAGGGTGTTCAGCTGAAAAACACCTCTGTTTTCTCTCTCAAACATAGGTAAGAAAATGATCGTGTTCTCTGAGGCCATGGGGTTTGTCTTGTTCTGTGCAAGAGTTCTTTGTAGGGTGTTTTGCTGTGTTTTTTTTTCAAAAGGTCTAGCTGTGATGATTTTCTCAATTCAGTAATTCAGTTTAAATCGGATGAAAGTAGTGTGTTGTTGAAGGTAGCCTGGGGTCTTCAGAAACGCCTAGTTAACAGGAATCTAGTTATTTCTTCTCATTCCTTTGTGTTTGGATATGTGTGTGCTTCATAAAATTTAAGATTTTTGGAATAGTAGTTGGCTTTGGCTTGAGGAACATAAACTGCTCTGATGGGATTGATTAGAAAAATGCAGTAAGGAAAGTTCTTCACCCTGATGCGGTTGTTCCAGACATGATGATAATGTTGGTTTTACAGCTCAAGGGAAAATCAGTACTGCTCTTTGAAATAAGCCTCTGGAAATGTCTTTTGTTCTTCCAAGTTAAAAGTATAGCAGTGCTCTGAAGATTTGCTACTGAAATCTGTTGCAGAGTAAACTGTAATGGTAAGTTAATAAATGGAAGTAAATAGTGAAATGTTACAGATGTAGGAGGAGGAAGGTACAAGGAGAAAATGCCTTTCAGTGTTCCCAGTGAACTTGGCTAGGAGCAGTGGAATTAAAGTGTAAATGTTTTCACTCCTGTATTATTTTCAGTAGCTGTGAAGTGTTCAGAATTCCTGCCGTGTTACAAGGGAGTCGTATGAACAAGTGTTTGAGGTAAAACAAATCAAAGAGGGGTCAGAGAAGCAATTTCTCTGAACTGAAGTTTGAGTCCTGCATCCAAATACCATGTGGACTTTTCATTCATCCTCTCTTTGTGGGTTTTTTCTTTTTGCTTGCTCTGTATTGAGACTGTTTCTCAGAACAGACTGCAAAGGCAGATTAATTCCTGTTTTCTTCCTTTTTTCTCTTTTTTAGAATCTTAAAAGTTTTGACCCAGGTGAAAAACACTTTTGTAACACTTCATGGAGTGATGTCTCTCCTTGGGAGTCTGTGGGCAAAAGGAAGGTATGTATATTTGCGTTAGTAATTCTGGGCAGATGTGTGACTGAATTTTATCACTTTCAGAAGTCCTGGAAAAGTTAAAATACACCTTCTTATGGTAAAGAAAAAATAGATTTAACATCTGTTTTCTGTTAATCAAGTAATAATCTCTTCTTTTCTCTGTGTTCTTCCCTGTAACGCAGCCGGTTATAAATGTGCCGTTTGGTAACTTTAGGATGCAGCCAGCTAAGATGTCGCACTGCTGTCAGCCTAATCTGATGTGTGACTTTATCGTGCTCTTGGCTACAACGCTCTTCTTGTTTCACTAGAAGAGCTGAAAACGTGATTGCCTTAGATGTGCGTGGATCGAGCTGTAATTGTCCTCGCGGTAGGGTCACGGCAGAAAACACATCCTGGCTGGGTTTGTGCATGTGAAGCAGCTTGAAGTTCCGTAGAGCTGGAATCTTGCCTGAAGCTAGAATCTCCGAGAAAGGCAGGGTGGAGAGGAATAAAGCCAAAGGGTTGCTGTAACTGTGTGTTCTAACGAGTTTCTGGGATGCGCTGTAGATCGTAGGAGTGTATCCAGAGGAATAACCCAGAGCAAACCATCCAGTCTTGCTGAAGGCTCGTAGGGTTCCTCCGGAAAAACTGCCGACAGCGTGTGAGCGGCGCTGGGGCTCCTCTTTGCATCCTCAGGCCAAAGGTAGCGGTTTAGAATAGTGCAGTGGTGGTTTGCCAGGATTTAATTATTATTTTTTTAATGCCATCTCTAAAACAAACTGAGGATGTGAAAGGGCTGTAGTCACAGTTCTCAACAAAGCCCCAACTGAACGAAGCTGCCGAGTCTTTGTCGAACTGTCACTTGGCAGAGAACGACCCTTCCCTCCTGCCCTTGAGGACCTGTGTCTGCTTTGTCCCCTAGTTTGCCTTTCCTGAACGTGGCTTCATGTGTTTGAGACTGCAGGTTCATCTGTCCCTGTGAATTTGTGGATGAAAGAGTCTAATGTGACTTTTCTGCCTAGGTCTGTAGAGACAGATCGCGTTGTTCTTTCCAAGTGGGACTCGGTGCCGCTTCAGATAAGATTTACAGTTACCTCTGCTCAAGACTACCTCTAGTTTAGGTGATTGGAGTAAACCCTGTTAATGGTTACTCTCTCTCTTTTTTCCTCCTCCTTTTCTTTCCTTCTGTATGCACATGGAAAACTTGTCCTTTCGTCAGGTCTCTTGGCTCTGGTCAGTGTGTCATCTGAGCGTTATCTGTGCTGATTTTGTCTCTTTTTGCTTTTTCCTCCACATTCTGACTAAAGAAGTTCAGTGGTGGGAGATCTTCTGTGCTAGGTGAGCAGGGGAGAATCTGGCTCCTCCCTAGACGTGAAACAGGGAAGAGGAAGATAAAGACAGAGCAAGTGAAGCTTCCTGTCTAAAACTGAAGATGAAGGGTTGTTTTCTTTCTGTCTTCCTTCCCTAGTCATTTAGGAAAAACGATTAGCCATTCCAGTGAAAATAGGAAAGAACTACACATCGTGCACTAGAGAGAGAATCTTCTTTCATCCTTTTTATCTGGGGAGAGAGACCAGGGAGACCTGATTCCTTACCAGAAGGGAGAGGTACAGGTCCTGACTCAGCTGGTCAGTGTGACCTGGAGTGTCTTTGCCTGCCCAAAATCCAATGAATTGGCATCTGATCTGATGAGCTTCAGCGTAGAGTTTATAATGTGTTGTTGTGTAGCAAATTCATCTTTTAAATACTAAACTACTTCCTATCCATTTTCTTTCTGCGAGATATATAGTGTTCACATACAGTTCCAAGAAAAAGTATGTGAACTTTTTGGAATTTCATGGTGTTCTGCATTAATTTGTCATAAAGTGTGAGCTACCAGTCTGGGATCTAGCCGGAGGATGGAATTGGTTTTGTGTTGTAACTTTAGGCACGTCGTAGTTGTCAATACTCTTGACTTAGATGACAGTTAGATCACATTATGTGACAGATTAATGCAGAACATGGTGACATCCCAAAAGGTTCACACACTTTTTTCTTGCATCGTGCTGCCTACATCCTTCAGGATGTTCTGGCACAGAGTTGTCGCAGAAGGGAAAAAGAAGTTGGCTGAGCTTTGCTGGGAGCTCAGAGGCTGGGCGAGGTGTCTGTCTGAACGAGTTGGTGGTTTCTGCCCTGAGTACTATTTCTAAGGAGACGTTGATAATTCTGGAAGAGGAGAGGCTGCCATGTCTGTCTGCGTGTCTCTAGGTTTTGGGGGATGTGAGCCTACACCATGGGAAGTGTCACTGCCTCTGGGGTGTGTGCTTTGGAGTGGGGCTGAGCAAGTTTTCCTAAATGCCTCTGATAAGCCCTTTGGGATTCCGATTGTGCGCTCTAGGCTTCTGGTAGTCAGTCTCCAAGACACTTCATTTTTAAGTGGCTTAGAATTCTTTTCTTTTTTTTTTTTTTTGTCAAGTGTTCTACAAAATTGAGATGCCATTAGTAGATCCAAGGGGGCATGGAACATAATTTCCCCCTGACTTAGCAAGTTGCAGGTACTGAGGCAGCTTCTTAGTGGTGTAAAGCAACAGGTATTTGCATAAGAAGTCGTAACATCGTTGCTGTGGACTAGTAAATTGATTCAGCAGTTAGACCACTCACGGAGTGTTCTCACTGCACCTGACGGTCATTGTTCAGGTGTGGCAGCAAGGAAATCCTGACAGTGTATTCCCTGTGATGTGATTGTCATCGGGAGACTCTTTGGCTCCCGCTGCGAGATGAAATGACAGGCAGCTCGCTGCACAGAGTTTGCTGCGGTTCCTCGTAACCCGTCTGCGATGTGGGTGGTGTGGCTGGGCTGGGCGCTGTAGGGGTGGAGCAGCTCGTTCCAGTGGGTGTTGGAGAGGGCAGACTTGTCACCTGGATGGATGTAGCCGTGACCAGTTCTGTAGTTTTTGACAGGAGCCAGGGTGAAGCTGATGGGAGAAAAAAAAAAAAAGTGGGGCTACCCATTTGTATGTAAAAAACAAATAATGTTGATGTGGATACGAAAAGCAGTGCTGTCAAGTGATGTGGAATTAAGAGAGCAGTGAGTTGAGTTTCTTTTTATATGGTTAAAATATTTTTCTGGGAAGAATCTATACACTCCATAAAGAGCATGCTAGAGAAAATTTCTTAAAGAAGTTACTGGGATGGGATATCCAGTATGTTGAGGTGGTATAAAGAGTTCATTGCTCTTTTGTCATAAAAGGGGTTTCTGTTCATTTCTCTTTCTGTTATTAATATGGCTCCAAAAAAATGTTCTTTAAAAAATCAGTCTTTCAGGAGAGATACTTTTGGAGTGCTTTCAGCGAAGGGCAGAATATTAAAATACACAACCCCCCTCACCCCTTCTGCCTTTTTTTTTTTCCCAGTAGATGGGAGGTGGTGCTGAATTAAATAAAGCTTTAAAAGCGTCATGAAAAGCACCACTGTTCCTAACTGCAAAGGCGCCGCCTCCACTGTACTGCGGCCTGCAAATTCTTCTCAGCTTGTCCTGTGATTCCCAGCTTTAAAGATGGGCTGCAGCATTCCTTCCTGTGAACTCGAATAGAAATGAACTCACTGAAGGCTTCTTTAATAAGGTATAAAAAAGCAAAAAGGCCACAAAATGTTTCTCCCTTTTTTAAGTAAGCCGTCTTTCAGTCTGCTTTTTAAAATCAGGAGAATCTGAGAAAATGCAATCTGTGCATCCAGTGAAGCTGTTTTTTGAGCAGGTGATAGTGTGGACTTTTAACTTTCAGGCAGATATCTGGGATTTAGGAGCTGGCAGCTTCTGAGTGGATGTTTTTTGTTCTGTTTGCAGAGATACAGAACGAAGCCGTACTGCTGTAGCTTATGCAAGTTCTCCTCTAAGTTGCTCACTTCCTTCAAGAATCACTTGCACCGTCACCATGAGGATGAAATGGACCAAGAGTTGGTGGTTCCTTGCCCAAAATGTGCATTTGCTTCTGTTCCCAAAATAGTGGGAAAGCACATTCGGATGTTTCATTCATCTAATAAAAGAATACAGAACTATACAGTCAGCATTTTGGATGGCATGAAACAGTTTAGGAGTGACATCATAAACTTTACGTGTCTAAAATGTCACTTTACAGACACGCTGTATTACAACATGAAGAAACATGTGCTGATGAACCATTTTCAAAACTTAATAAGTACGTATTTTGGCCAGAGACCTGATGAAAGTAGTGAAAATTCTGTCGAGCACTACTGTAAAAAATGTAATGCTTCTGCAGTCAGCCAAGATTCGTTAATGTTTCACGTCTTGACGGCCGAAACACACCGAGATCTGGAGAACAAACTTCGGTCTGTGATTTCAGAACACATTAAGAAACCAGGACTCGTGAAACAAATGCATATCGCTCCGAAGCCTCCCCAGGGGGTGGCGATGGCCGCTTTTTGGGGGCCCTGCCCCTGTCCCGGCCGCTTCCGCCGCGGCTCCGGCTTGTATCCAGCTCGCCTTTCCACAGAACAATCAGAACCAGAGCGTGGCGCAGCCAAACGCGGTTCCCAACGCGGTCAGCTCGCTGACTGTCCCAAGTGCCTCTGGTAGCCTCCCACCTACAACTTCGGCTCCGGCCGTTACTCTCGTCTCTAGTAATCTCCCTGTAGGTCAGAATAACATCAGTATTCAGCCGCCGCCTCCCCAGCCCGTCATCGTTTCCCATGGGCTCCCCCTTAATCAGACGGTGAGGACTGGAGCTCTCCCTCTCCATCACGCCGTTGGGACGGTGGCGCCCGCGGTTCTTCCTCTCAATCAGCCCGTCACGCCGGGGCTCTTCCCTATCAGTCAACCCATCGGTACAATAAATGGTCCCGTTGCGGCCGGGGCGCTGCCTGTGGCTCAACCCGTCAGCCCCGTGAATCAACCCGTGGCCCCGGGAGTTCTCTCGGTCAACCAGTCCAACCCCTCGGCCCCCAGGTCCTGCCCGTGGCGCAGACGGTTGCGTCGGGTGTCCTCCAGCTTAACCAGCCCGTCGCCCCCGGCGTCGTTCCTGTCCGACAGCCCGTCAGACCCAGCTTCCTTCAGCTCAATCAACCCGTTGCCCCGGCAGTTATCCCTGTAAATCAGACGGTTCAACCGGCGGTTTCTCAAAACGCAGCTTTTTTGACCGCTGGGTCCATACTCAGGCAGTTGATCCCCACCGGGAAGCAGGTGAACGGGATCCCTACCTACACGCTGGCCCCGGTTTCAGTGACTTTGCCCGTACCTCCGGGTGGCGGAGTCGCCACCGTGACGCCGCCGCAGGTGCCCATCCAGCTGATGCAGTCGGGGACGGTGGCTCAGTTGTCCCAGTCGCCCGCCGGCGCGCCTTCTCCTCCCGTGGTGTTAACGTCGCAGAACATCGCGTTGCAGTCTTCCCTGCCCGCTCCTGAAACGAGCCAGGCTGTCAGGCAGGCGAAGCAGTGGAAGACCTGCCCTGTTTGCAACGAGCTTTTCCCGTCGAACGTCTACCAGGTGCACATGGAGGTGGCCCACAAACACGGGGAGGTGAAAACAGAGGAGACGCCGGCGCCCGACAAACTCGCCGCCTGCGCGCCCTTCCTGAGGTGGATGACGGAGAAGACGGTGCGGTGCTTCTCGTGCAAATGTTTTCTCTGTGAGGAGGAGCTGATGAAACACCTCCTGATGCACGGCTTGGCTTGCTTGTTTTGCACAGTTACTTTCCACGACTTGAAAAGCCTCGTGGAGCACAACAAAACCACACACAACGGGAAGAAGCAGTTACACGCCGATTACAGCAACCGAGGGTTTCAGCTGGGGAACGATGCTCAGGGCGACCTCGTGTTTCCACACTTTGATTTCAGCACAGCGTTGCCTAGAGAAGACATTGGTGAAAGAGAAGTACACCTGGCCGTGCTGGCCGGGCTGAATTCGAGGACGCTCGTCCCCGTTTACATCAAGGTGAAACCTCAGGTGGTGGAGGTGGCAAACAACCGGTGCAGCAAGAAGGTGTTGACCTGCCCTTTCTGCTTCGGTACGTTCGTTAGTAAAGAGACCTACGAGACTCATTTGAAAGAGCGGCATCACATCATGCCGACCGTGCACACGATTTTAAAATCTCCTGCTTTTAAGTGCATCCACTGCTGCGGCGTCTACACGGGGAACATGACTCTCACGGCCATCGCCGTGCACCTGCTCCGCTGCAGAAGCGCTCCCAAAGACACCAACTCGAGCATGAAGATGCAGCTCGAGCGCACCGAGAGGAAGGAGCTCCTTTTCCTCAACGGGGACAAGCACGACCCCGTCATACCCAAAAGGAAGCAGTCGGATTCCTGCTTCGGCACGGAAGACCAAAGGAATAGGGAGCAGCAGCCTCTGAGCTTCGGGATGGGCTTAGCTCTGTCTCCAGAAACAGAAATGGGTCCCGGGCTGGTGCCTTTCAAGCGGCAGAAGATGAAGTTTCCTTCCAGCGAGGAGCTGCGCCTTCTCGCTGTGGATCCCAAGCGGTACGATCCCAACTCGTACGAGGCCCAGACCCGGTTTTTGACAGACTACTTTCACGAGAGGCCCTACCCGTCTAAAAAAGAGATGGAGCTGCTCTCCTCGCTGCTCTGCGCCTGGAAGATCGACGTGGCGGCGTTCTTTGGGAAAAGGAGGAACCTGTGCTTGCGGGCCATGGATGCTCACAAGCCGTCTGTGCTGCTGGGCTTCAGTATGTCCGAACTGAAAAACATTAAGCACAGTTTGAATATAAGAGATGACCCGTTAGATGTGTAAGCGAGCTTTTTTTTTTTCTTTATTTTAATAACAGCTAAAAGCAACCCGTAACCACGTACTCACCGATTTAGCAGTTTGTCGTATCGTTGGTTTTAACTCACAGACCAGCCTGTCGAAGGGTGCAGTAGGACAAAAAAGAAAAAAAAACAAACCAAGTCTCGTTCCGTTGTGACTGTTCTTGTGGAAGGCACACATAGTTGTGTATTTGAAAAAGCTAAAACCTTCAGATTCACACATCTGGAATTTGTTTTAGCTTTTTTACTTCTTCTGGAGTAGTGAATTTTTTGGTGTTTGGGTTTTTTTTGTTTGGTTGGATTTTTTTATTGTTTCCCCTTCTTCCCCTCCAGGCCCCCCACTACACTTTTTATACCACCATGTAAAACATTTGTCCTGTTAAAAACAAATTTTATTTTATTTTTCTGCAATGTCATCGTCTTTTCTAAACAATAAAATGTATAATGTTGGTTTAAAATGCTGAGGTAAACTATGTGGAAAACCATCTACTTGATTATCTGTGGTTTTAAGTCCTAATTTTTTTGTTTTTAACCTATTTTTGGTTTTATCTGCTGAGGAAGTGATCGTAGCCTCTCTACATCCGTGGCCCCATCAGATTTCCAGTGCACCAGTAGCAATAAAATACATGGCAATTTTTAATTTATTTTTTTTTTGTCTTCTCGGTCAAAATACCTGGTGCCAGCTAAGTCTGGTGACCTGTAGTGTCTCACGAGTGTGGCTGTGATGGGGCTCGGGGGTTGCCTATTGAAGGGTTCCCCTGACCCGACTCAGAATAGTTTTCTCTGACCTGTGAACTAGATCTCACAAACCAGAAGCGTTCGCTCGCCGCCGTGCTGGAGGAGCCTGGCCGCGCTGAGAGCCCCGTCCTTCGAAGCTCGGGGACCGCGCTCCTTCTCGTTTCCTTTTGGGAAAGCAAAGCCGTGCGTGACTTCTGCCCCGTAGAAGCCCTGTCCAAGTGTCGCCCGGGTTTGGTGAAAATTTGGTATTTTGTTTGGATTGTTTTGTTTTAAATCTGCACGAGGCGGTAACTGAGCGGCGCCTCCTCGGCGAGAGGCAAGTGAGAGCCGTGGTTTGAAGTGTCCTTTGGGTCAGAAACTACGAACCAAAACCGCATTAATCACTACCAGCGGGACTCGTAAGCCGTCGGGTGCCTGAACCGATGATCCTCACGTGAGCGATGGGGTTTGTTGGGCTGGAGAGAAGCGCAAGAGCAGTTGAAAACCCAACTGGGCCGTCCTGTTGGCGCTGAGCTCGTGGTGACAGAAAAGCTCTTGGGAAGGACGCGGGTTGAGGAGCAAATAATCGTGCTGGTGGTGCTGGCCTTACTGGTTTCAGCCGGCTCGTCACACAGTGCCTCCAGTAGCCATTCAGAGCCACATATAGAATAAATATCCTATAATACGCTTTTTTTATTTTTTCTTCATCCCCCTCTCCCCACCTTTCTTTCCCAGGAGGAAAAAAGAAATAAAAGAGCAGGCTCTTCCGTCGGGTCACTCAGGCTGGCGGTTACAGGGAGAAGGTGATGTGCCCGTGCTTATTTCTGTCTTTTTAAGCAGCGAGTGCGCTTTTTGCCCCGCGTGGTAGTTTTTAAAGCAGCTCCGGAATTGGCTCTTTGTGCTGTTTCTCAAAGGGTGTGACCCTTGCGATAGCAGAGTTTGGTGACTGTAAGCTGTTCAGAGTTCTGGTTTGGATGCAGTTTCGGTATTTTCATATTTGCCCAGTCGGAACAATTTTAATGTGTATGTAACGGGTGGTTACTTCAAACTGAGAGAATTTGGGAAAAAAAAAACCAAAATAGTTTAAGAGAATTAACCCAAGCTCTGTTCATGGCCTGCAGACCCTACCCTGAAGTGTGACGCTGGGCAAGCAGTGGGGTGTTCTTCCAGCGTAATAGTTTAAAGTAATATAATAATTAAAACAAACCCTGCAGTTTCTGCACCAGGTGGCAGAGCTCTGGGCGAGGAAGAGGGCTGCTCTGTGGACGTTGGGAGATTCGGGTGCTTATTTTCCTTCTTGAACCCTGGGCGCCGGGAGCCCAGGCCGTTCTGCTGGGTGGGACCCGGTGCCTCCCGGTTGTTCCCGAGAGCGGGGAGCTGGGGGGTGGGTTCGGGGTTCAACCATGCACGGCGCTGCCCAGGCTCCTCAGAGTTCTACATAGTGTCCGGTGGCGATGTTAAAACGTTTTTATTTATTGGACTTTTTGATTTCACGGTTGCAAATAAACCAGTTTTTCTGACTTTCTCTTAGGTGTGTGTGCGCGAATGATTACCTGCCCTGGCCGCTCCCCTTCCAGTCTGTTGAGGGACCTCACTGTGAGACCTTCTCTTGGTGCCAAATAGCCGTTGGAAGACGCGGGAGGAAAGCTGGATGTGCTTTAGGTAGACCTTGATACGTTAGAGCGGTTGGGACAAGCAGCGGGTCTGAAGGAGCTGCCCTCTGCTTCCACGTGCAGGTCCTTGAAGCACGTGGGAGAAGCTCTGGTCCACCCTAAGGGAGACCCAGTCGGTTTGCAGGGTGGTTGTAGCAAGTCCATTTTTCCACGTGGGAATAGAAAAAAAAAAACCCAAACCAACAATCACCAAACCAAAAAACCCAAACAACTAAACCTGTGAGTATTCTGCGCCTGAAGCGTGTTAGTCTGGAGAGGTCTCCGCGTTGGAGGAATACTTTGTTGTGGCGTCTTGAGGTTTTGAGCAGAAAAAGAACGCTTTAGACATGAGTATGTAGGAGGAAGGATTGTTGCTACAAGGTGACTTGGTCACGTTTCGTCTGTATATGTGTGAGTTAGTTACTATAGTTTGGTAAACCTATTTTTAGAAGGGGACAAAACCACCCTCATGTTTGTTTTTCTGTACCATAGTCTTGTGTAGAAGACTGCAGTTCACTGTTTCATCAGCCTTTTTTATTTCCCTTTGCTGTTGAGGAAAGTCGAGGGGCTCATTTAATTAAATATAATTTGGAGTGTGCAGACCCCGCGCTGTAGAGGGAGCATTTGCTGAGAAATACGGGTTTCTCTTTGGAAAATCTGCAGCTGTGAAAAGCTTTCGATGACAAGGTCGTCATTTAGAAGATGTGTCACGGATGGGGCCAGCCCTGCGCCCTCTCTGTGGGGGGGAGGAGGTGGATTTTTAAAGGAATGAGGGAGGCAGACGTACAGAGACAGTTTTAGACAAAAGAATTCCCAAACTCCATGAGCAGTCCCAGCTGTGGAAGGAGGGGTAAGCTGTGCTGGATGATGTGTTGGTGACAAGCCCTGAGCTGAGCGTTAGATCTTGCCAGGATAATTTTTTTCCTATTTATTTTTTTTTTTTATACTGCTAAATAAAAACACACAGCTTGTGCTCTTATGGCAAGTCAACTGCCCCTAATGGAGAAAAATTGGACACTTCTCTTAATGTCCAGTCTAAATCTCCCCTGGCGCAACATGAGGCCGTTTGCTCTTGTCCCATCGCTTGTTGCTTGTGAGAGGAGACGCCCCCACCTCACTGCACCCTCCTTTCAAGGAGCTGTAGAGAGTGGGAAGGTCTCCCCCTGGCCTTCTCCATCTGAACAGCCCCAGCTCCCTCGGCCGCTCCTCAGCACACTTGTTCTCCAGAACCTTCCCCAGCTCCGCTGCCCTTCTCCGGGCAAGGGGCAGGCTGGGTGTCCCGTTGAGGCTCAGCCCTGGGACGTCACAGATGTTGTGCCCGGGTGACTGCGCATCCAACTACCTCGGCGCTGCTGGAGCAGGGGGCACAGTGCCCTGGTGGGCATCAGTCGGGGCAATTCTGCGAATTTGGGCTGGATCCTGCAGAGCTTGCCTGTCTTCCCAGTTCCTCCCCGGCAGTGGAGGTGCCGGCATAAAACTGGTGCTGACGTCTGCGGGTTATGACTTGGAAGGTGTGGAATGACCTGTCTGAAGGACAGACCGACGGCCCAGCAGCTCAGGATGTCGCCAGGTGCGCTGGGGAAGGTTTATCTGCGCTGGTCCTTTCTGGTCTTCTCTGGTTACATCTCCGGCTCTAGGTTGGTTTTCTCGCTCGCTGGTTTTCCCTCTTCCAAATTAAGGCTATAATGCTGGATTCGCTGTCACTGAGGATATTTTCATGTCCGGGCATGTGAGTTCCTTGAACAACTCTTAAAAAAATTTTACAAGTATTCACTTTGCTGCTCCTAGGGCTTGAACGCTTTTGAGTTACTGAAGAGGTAACAGCGGTGATTCTGAACTTGTGAAATCGGCACGTGTTTTGGTGAGTAGAGGATTGCTGCAGCAAAAGATTTTTATTATCATTTTCAAGCCATAAATAAATAGAAACTTTAACAAAATAAATCCAGAGCTTTCATCCAAATGGCCAAAAGTGAAAGCCCTAAACCTCAGACCGGGGATCTGGGTGTTAAACGTTCAAAGCGGGGACACCTGAGTTATGGGCTTAGAATCTTTCACTAACCTGTGAATCTGGGGCAAGACCTTTCATTTCCCAGTGTGGGAAAGGGCTGCAATACATGAGGAAAAACCTATGCCTTTGAGAAATCCGTGTATCTTTTTCAACTCCCTTGGCTCCTTTCGTCTGCAAAACTGTTGTTACGAAGATGTGGCTTGAATTCCTCCAGTACCACGCAGAGCCCTTGTTCCTGTCAAGCGGGCAGCGGGATCTTTAGCGGTGTTTATTCTGACAGGTAGGGACTGGACAAATTCAACCTCGTCCACCGGGAACAAGGCAATCAAACCTCTTGTTCCTGCCCAGCGAGGGGGGAACTGCTGCTGTTTACAGCTCATTAGATGAGATTCCTTATCAAGGAGTCATGGTAGCGTCCCGGAGGACAAGAATTGTGCTCTCATCACACGCTCAGAGGGATGTTGGTGTTCAGGTCACCGCTTGTGAGGACTGTCACAGCTTGTCACTGGTGGCTGGGAGCACTCCTGAGGATGGCTGTGTGAGGTGCCAGCAGGTTGAGGACCTGCTAAGCCGGGTGGCGCAGCTCCAGGATGAAGTGTTGGAGCTCAG